ATGTAACTTTTTTGTAATGCTTTGTTTTTGAACAAAGAGAAACATTGTGTCCTTTCTCCTCTAGTTTCGAGAAAATAATGTTCCTACAGGATGTTCTTGATGGCATTTGCATTGAGGACACTGCAGTTTAAAGTGGCAAATTGCAATTTAGAATCTTTTGTGTGTGTGTGTGTGTGTGTGCGTGTGTGACAGTTTCCAAAGTGGTTGTCCTTTTGGCAACACAGGCTCATTGCAAAAACGTTACTGTGGCAACATTTTGGCAAAACGCAAAAAGCAGTAAAACAGCAAGCACTTTCAATCGTTTTCAGACACAATTATGATTACAGGGGCAGATTATGGATTAATAATGACTAGTTTTCACATGGCTCCTTGCACAACTATGTTATGACCTCAAAACACTTTTTACCATAGTGTTTTACCATAGTTTTACTGACTATGCTCAGCTGGTACAGAATTGTACTTGTGATGCGGAAAGCTCGGGTACGAACCCCATGAAAGATGAGTCATGATACAAGAGCTCAAAGTTCAAAAACAAGCTAAAATGCCATGGTTACGACGAGTACGTTATGATGTCGCATTTGTTTTTGTTAACACTATCGGGTAGGTTTAGGGTTTAGGTGTATGTTATTTTAAAATGTGATGGAGCATTACGATTAGCGCCACTCACCGGACATTTCAATTCAGAACTGCAGTGATATGTACAAGCTTAGACTTATTAATAAAACGTTGCCACATTCACATTAATCTGTTCTGGAAAAAACTAAACACGCGTTTAGCGCCACTCACTGGACATTTCACTTTGAAACTGTCGCGAAACGTGCACAACGCAACGTATTTAGCGTTTTGCAAAAATGTTGCCACAGGTATGTTTTATGAATGAGCCTGGGCTGCCTTTTGAATATGAGTATGTGTGTGGGTAGGCCTATATACCTACCCAAAGGGATAGTTTACCCAAAAATTATAATACTGTCATCATTTAATCACCCTCATGTCATTCCAAATCCATAACACCTTTATTCATCTTCAAAGCAGAAATTAAGATGTTAGTTTCTGTGAGCGAATAATTGAGTCATAATTCAACCGATTTGTTCAAACCGACTTTCTTAATGTGTGAGTCATTGAATCATTCATTCAACCAATTTGTTCAACTGGACTGATTAATTCGGTAACAAAACAGTGCTGTGACAGTGCAAAACAAGCAATAGTGTGTCCAAAATGTAAGTCACATAATTGTTTATTAAAATGGTGTATAAAATCAATATCGCATTTGTAATCGTGCTATTGTTTGGAGAAAAATTCAGCAAACATTTGTCTCTAAAAGACAAATACTCATGCATTTTTACTGCATTTTAATAAAGTAAATCACTCAGAGAGAGTGTGCACTCTAAGTGCGCACATGCAGTAGTCTGACCTTGACCGAAAATGCTACATCAAACAGTTTATCAAACACTCTCTAGGTGTATTTTTGTTTGTTTTTTGCAAAGTGAGGTACATACTTGAAAATGTCAGATAGCACATCGTTAAAACAACAATTACGATATTATCGTAGACAATATATATCACACACCCCTAGTTGGAACATGATTGTGGGGATTTGCTCCCATTCAGACACAGGAATCAGTGAGGTCAGGCACTGATGTTGGCCGATGGGATCTGTCCCGCAGTCAGTTTTTCTCTTCATCCCAAAAAAGTGTTTAGAGAAGATCAGGTTTGGGTTTGATGCAGGCCAGTCTAGTTCTTCTAAACCAGACTCTGTTAATCATTTCATAATGTACCTTGCTTTGTGCACAGGAGCAATGGCATGCTGCATAGGACGGAAAGGGTCCCTCCACAAACTCTTACCTGCAAACTATAAGTATTGTAGAAAGTTTTAGGCATTAAGCTAGTCATAGTTTTTATTTATCAATAAACTTGATAAACAAATAACTATTCATGAAATTATTAACTTCTATTTTTAAAAATCATATTTATATTTGGTGTAATATTTAGTCACCCTTTGCTTTTAAAGCTGCTTTATCATTAGGTACACTTGCTCATAGGTAGTTCTACATCTACATCATATACTATACTGTAAAAAAGCACCGTCCTTTGGATGAGACGTTAAACCGAGGTCCTGACTCTCTGTGGTCATTAAAAATCCCCCCAAAAAGTTGCCCATTGGCTTCTGTCCATCCTGGCCTCCTAACCATGGTGTGTCACATCTACATCGACTGAATTCTACAGTTGCATCGGTAACTGAAACCTTTTGCATTCCACTATAGGTTTCAGTATAAGTGCAAGACAATATCCATAATGGCAATGCAACAAATACACTCAGTAATGTTTCGTTTATTTAAGATTCAGGTAATCTGAATCAGCAATGATCAGTAATGATTTGTTTTATTAAGATTTGTCTGCAGTGAAATTAAAGGGCTTAGAAATTGAGATATTTGATCTGCCTCCATGCTGACAAGACTGTAGCAAATCTTTAGGAAATGAACTCTGCATAGTCTCAGAGTTGATCCTTCCACTGTGATCCCCTCCTCTCCCTCCTCTGTTAAAGGTGCTGTGGGTGATTACAGCTCCTGGGGGTCTACTGCTGGATGTTCCCCTGGGGACAGCTGTCCACAAGGGAGCAGCCTCTCTAGAGAGCCCAAATTAGAGGGTGTGTGACAGGTGCGGCAAGGGGGGCATGACGGCCGCCAAATTCCTCTGTGCATTAGATGGATAGAGAGAGAGGGAGGGAGAGAGAGAGGGAGTGTGAGAGAGGGCTGAAATATTTATGATCAACGACTTCACAGGGCAGTGCAGGGCTTCAGCACTGTCCCCCTGGGGAGCAAGTGGACTCAGTCAGTGTGCCCGCCGGTCCAAGCTGACAGCCCCCCGATGGGTCATTAGTGAGCATTACCTGAATGTGCACACACACACTTACACATTCTATATATATTCTGTATATATCTTGTTCACTCTCTCTCTTCTACAGTAATGCCGTTTTGCCCTCCGCTGGCATGAGCAATATGGATAGACTTTTGTAAATGCTGTTTGATTTTTATTGTGTCTGTCACATTGGGATGTTGATTAGCACACGGACCAGTGCCCAGAATGGCCAGAGGAGAAAGCGACAGCAACCTTATCTGACACGATTTAGTTGTACATTGCAAGATGGCTGGTGCCAGAGATAAAATATTGGCCATGTTTATCCCATTAACCAGCTTGGATTTTTATTGAATAGATCTTTAATTTGTGTCCCCCCTTGATATGCTTTGATCCAGGTATCTTTGTGCTGTGGCGTTGTGACCAGGTTCCAAGAAATCCATTTACTCTTTTAAAATTGACACTGAAAAGGCTTGTTCACGCTAAACAACACATTCTTTGGACCACTCTATAGATGAGGTGTGTGATCAGTCTTACGAAAAACACACATCCCCGCACATTCAAGCACAGATTTTGTCCCTGCTGCCTGAGACTCCCTGCCAGCACTTGGCTGCATACCGTACCATGCCATTTTCATCCAAAAGCTCTTTCTCTTGCTGTGCATCAAACAACTTGGTGTGCAATTACACACAATAAGTTCAAGATGCACTTGAGACCATTATGACGCCTAGCTGAACACATTGGAATCGCCGGGTTTGCGCCCACTACACCCGTTCAGCTCTGGATCCAATTAAAAAAAAATTAATTTGCCCCAAAACAATGGAACGGTGACCATTGGGTCAAAAAGAAGCAGTACTCCATGAAAGGTGTCCCAGATGTAGGGTGAGAAGCCCCACCTCTTACCTTGAATTTTTCTGTTGACCATTGAATGCCATCTCAACACATTTATTAAGGGGTTTCTCTTATTAAATTTGACTTTTTTTATTTGAACATTAACATTTGGGAGCTTTATTGCAGCAGTTTTGAGGATAAATTATCTTTTTTTGGTATTGGATAAGTGATTTGTGATGTTTTTATGTTTATTTGTTATAATATGGTTTTTACTTTGAATTGAACAATTAAAGTTAGACTTGAATTGAGATAGAAGGCCTTGAGTGGCATGATGTCAGGGCTGGACTGGCCCATACCTGGGGTCTCATTTATAAAACTGTGCGTAGGATCCTCCTTACTAAAAGTGTACGTGCGCCCGAAAGCCTAAAATGGCGTACGCTTAAAAATATTCAGACTTATAAAACCGTTCGTACGCCAGAATGCGCAGAATTCACTTTATAAATCCCAGTCAGCAGAAGAATGTGCGCAGATGCGTCTCCTCCCCGAAATAACCATATATGGAGCTTACAACGCCTAGTTTTACTATGCATATCCTCATCTGCATATCATTTGCATATGATTATTCATCCACGTGATACCATGTTTAACGATACAAGATATTAGGAAAATATGAAATACGGAATTGCTGTCACATTAGGCTACATTAATAAAAATCATAAGCCTATCCTTGGCTTGTTTTTGAATAAATAAATCAAATAGTGTAAAATACATTTCAGAGAAAGTTTCTCAATTTCACTAGCCAAATAGTATTTTTAATTTATTATATTTTTAATGGAAACAGATAGATCTTGTGCATTATTTGCACGAAACTATTTTCTCAGACAATCTGCTATTATCATGATAAGCAATTATGTATGTAAAACATTAAAACACAGAATGCCAGAGGAAAAGGGTTCAAAAGCATTGCATCCACAACAAATATTTCTATTTATTGAATATAAAAAAAATGTTGTAACTTCTCAGTAATGATTTCATGTAGGCTAGTTTAAGTGTTTAACTGCATTAATGGGAATGGCATATTTAATCTAAATGTTTATATCAAAAGTAAAACATAGTTTAAATCATAATTTTATTTATTTAAAGTGTCATTGTGAACACGCACTCTATTTATGAAGTTTTATGTAAACAAAGTTCGGGAGGAGCATGTTCAGGTAATCATCCAATCAGCGCAAAAAGAAGCCAGTATAAATAAAGCCTTCCCTTACCTCCTGTCTCATGACTAATTTCTCAGCATCTGACTCCGCCTCCGTGCAGTCATGTCCGAGTTAGAGCTCTTCCCCTCCGACGATGAATCTTTCATCACGGAGTCATCTCAACCGCAAAATGCAGATCCAGCAACCCTTCCTTCTCCAGCAGCCAATGGCAACATCGAGCCTCCATCCTCAACCAGGGGACGTCGGCCCTCCAGATCCTCTCCGCATACTCCAAGGCGCCGAAGACTCCCCTCACCACCGCCAGCGAGGAACTCATCATCTTCATCATTGTCTTCCTCCGCGCCTTCCCACCTTCCAGCTCCCCCTAACATCCCTCCCATAGGGAAGTGGACAGTTAAGGGGCTAAGACAAGCCCTAATTAATTCTGATGCAAATTTCTCCCGCAGGATATAAAAAGCAGAATTATTTAATTTATATGTCACCTTACAATCTTCTCACCTTTCTGTTTCAGCTCCAATTCCTTCGGCTCGAACGAGCAAGGCTCGCCGGGCCCCGATCGCTCGTCCCGCAGTACCTCCTTCCTCACTTGCAGCGCTAGGCTCCGCCCCCAGCGCCACGGCGTCACAGACCTTCCGCTAGCCTGGGCCGCGCCCCGGAACCAGTCACGGATGGGCGCCAATCTCCTCCAGGTCAACTCCCCTCCTCAGCCCCTCCCATCGTGGTACCTCACACTCTAGATCCCGGCAGTTCCACTTTCTTACACGATCCCCAAACGTTTTTCTTCCCTTCTACATCTTTCAGTTTTCCTCCTTCCCAAGCGTCACGTGCTTACCCTAACGTGAGGATGCCTCCGTTAGCCGGTCAATCCCCGGCGCATTTATTTCCCCTTCCACACTATGCTCTTCCTATTCCTCCTCCTCCACCTAACCCGGGGGCCAATCTCCGCGTGAGGATGCCTCCGCAAACGGCCACAGCCCCGATTTTCCATCCCTTTAACCCTCTCCAAGTGCGTTCTCCTTTCTCTCTCTTCTCAGCCACTCCTCAACCAGCCCCTCCGAATGCAGTAGCATCTGAACCTCCTCCAGTGACGAACAACATCAGAGCTCAAATCCTAGCAGGTGCAGATGTTGATTTGGGTTCTCTCCTGTCCTTGTTTCCTCCGGCTGAGTCCAATCGCCAAGTAGACTGCGGCGACATTTCAGTCACTCTAAAAAATAACTCACAGGTTACATCACGTTCATTGTCACTAGCCGAATTCTGTATTGCCTTCAGCCGTTATACAGAAATCATATGCTCGTCTTTTCCCCATAGACGGCGCGAGCTGAACGACTATCTGTCTTTTATAGCGGAGCTCGCGTTGTCTTACGGGGGTAGTCATTTTTATACGTACCACAAGCTGTTTTCCGCAAAATGCGCCGTCCGCGTTTCCCAATGGAATCAGTGTCCCTATTGGGGAGCGTTGGACACCGATCTCCATAACCGAGTCTTCCTCGGGTGCAGAAATATCTCCTGCGCAATCTGCAGATCCACAATCCATGCCACCACGGCATGCCCCCAAATTAATCCGTCGATCCCTCCCTGCCCAGAGCAGAATGCCATAAAATCCACAAGTTACGTTCTGCGTCACGCAAGAGAAGATTTTTCAATCAGAGCACCATACTCGGCACCCGATAGACAAGTTTGTAGGAACTTCAACGAAGGGAGATGCCCAAGACAACGCTGTCGTTTTCTCCACGTCTGCGATTTCTGCGGCGGCGCACACGCCCGCGTGATATGCCCAGTCAAAAAATCTGTCAATAAAAATGCAAAAAACTATCTCTCGACTCCTGTGAATGTTTTCCGTCTAGCCGAAGAATTATCACACCACCCAGATGCCAACTTCACAAATTATTTACTGAAAGGTCTCAATCAAGGCTTTAAACCCGGTGTAGAAAGCCATCCCACGCAAAATATTATCTGCGCTTACCTTCAGTCCGCCTTAGCAGAGCCCGGAGTAGTAGATAAGCTAATTAAAAAAAGAAATTGAATCCGGTTTCATGATCGGTCCATTCGAGGCCCCCCCGTTCGACAAATTTCGCATCAGCCCCATAGGCGTGGCTACCAGGAAATTCTCTGGAAAAAAGCGGCTGATAATCGACCTTTCAGCCCCCCCATAATTCTCCATATCCGAGCATCAATAGTCTCATCCCTCTCGAAGAGTATTCTCTTAACTATCATGATATCGAACAAGCCATAACCATGATTAAAATAGCTGGACGAGGTGCATGGCTTGCAAAAGTAGATATCTCCTCTGCTTTTAAAGTAATGCCAATCCACCCCGATTCATGGCACTTATTCAGCGTAAACTGGCAGAAAAAGTATTATTTCGCTGTGCGCTTAACTTTCGGCTGCAAAAGCAGCCCAAAAATCTTTGACACTCTCTCTGAAGCCATATGTTGGATCCTTTCCAATAATTATGCAATTCCTCATCTTCTCCATCTGCTCGACGATTTCCTAATAATTTCACCTCACGACATCATCCCCGAGGCTCACCTCCTCATAGTGAAAAAAGTTTTCGCCGAACTAGGGATTCCGTTAGCCCACGAGAAAACATCGGGTCCAACTACATCCATCGAGTTCTTGGGCATCAATCTGGACTCAGCAAAATTCCAGGCCTCACTGCCTAAGGAAAAAATCGATCGCATCATTTTAATCGCTTCCAATTTTACAGACAGCACAGATTGTTCAAAACGCGAACTTCTCTCGCTGCTGGGCCACCTAAATTATGCGATGCGCATTATTCCACAGGGCCGACCTTTTATCGCGCATCTCCTAGCCCTCTCTTCATCCGTTCATGGGCTGGAAGATCGGATCATCCTTTCCGACGAGTCAAAAAACGAGCTAAAATTATGGATTAATTTCCTCAATCAGTGGAACGGCTTAACTTTTTTTTACGACGACTTTATCTCTCTCCCCCTCGATATCAAACTGTTCACAGACGCAGCTCCCTCGATCGGCTTCGGCGGCTATTACCAAGGACGCTGGTTCGCGTCTCCCTGGCCCCCCCAGCTCCTGGACACACCCCAGTCTTCAGCCTCCTCTGCCCTTTTCGAGCTCTACCCAATCGTCGTCGCAGCTTCCCAATGGGGGAAAGAATGGTCAACCAAAAGCATCCAAATCCATTGCGACAACGAAGCAACTGTTCACTGTATCAACAAAGGTCGTTCTCGCTCACCTGCGCTGATGCCACTCCTCAGACGCCTCATATGGATCTCCGCATGCGACCAGTTCTTAATAACTGCAAATCACGTTCCAGGGGCTCAAAATCAAATCGCTGACTCTCTCTCCCGTTTCTCTTTTCAGAAATTCAGGATGCTGGCCCCAGAAGCAGACCCCACTCCAACTCCAGTACCTCCTTATTTGCAGCTGATCTTCCCATAAACCATCCGCTAAAATCCCTCCTGGACACGTCCATCGAATCCATCCTCCAAGCCGTCTCTCCCAGAACCCTGCAAACTTATTACACCGCATGGAAATCGTTCAAATCATTCCACCTCTCTCACAACCTGTCGTTTCCCGAATTTTCTCTTTTAACAGTTACTTCATTCATATCTCATCTGCATAGTATTAAAGGTCTCCAAGCCGGATCCATTAAAAGCTATCTAAGCGGCATTCAATTCTTCCATAAATTAATCCACGGTAAACCTACACCCGCAATAAATAACTCCCAAACGTCCCTTCTAGTTAAAGGAATCCAAAGATCCCGCCCCACGCGCCCAGATACCAGACAACCAATCACAATCGATATACTCACCAGATGCATCTCATTACTCCGTCTTGGATACCACTCCATCAACACCGCATATACATTAGAAGCTATGTTCATCCTAGCATTCTTCGGTCTCCTCCGCTGTTCCGAACTGACCATTACTTCCTTATTCGACCCAAATGTCCATCCCTCCATTACAGACCTCCAGATCGTAGATAATGAAACCATATCATTTTTCATTAAACAACGCAAAACGAACAGAGATAAAAGAGGTCACTTCGTTTATATTTTCAATCTACAAACTCCCATCCAACCGTACCATGCCCTTTTTAATTACCTGCAGTATAAACTTTCCTCGTCCAAATCCCCACTCGACCCTCTTTTCACTAACGACTCCAATCATCCAGCGACGAGATTCTGGTTCCAAAAGCATCTTAAAGCAGTCCTCATCAAATCCGGCGTCTCAGCAGAGCATTTCTCTAGCCACTCATTCCGCATCGGAGCAGCTACCACAGCCGCTCAAAAAGGTCTCTCCCAACAACAAATCAAAACCCTCGGTCGCTGGTCATCGAATGCCTTCAAAACCTATATTAGGTCTAGCCGGTTTTTCATCAGAAATGCTCACCAAGCCCTAACTAATTAATTAATTATAATTATCACCTGCTGCGCCTCATTTCAGTTACATCCGTTTACACCAAACCTTCCGATTACATCTGGGCTCGCCGCTTGCACGCTCGCTTAATATTCATAGTGTACGTGTCACGTTCGTATTAAGGACAGGAAGCAATAGCGAGTCAACAAGTTTAATGTAGAATATTGGACAGTACAAGTAGATGGTGATCAGGTGACGCAGGGACTCAGACGGTCAGAGCTGGTGCAGACAAACAGTGCAGCGGTGACGATGGTGAGACAAGCAATCCAGTAGACGAACACGACGACGACGACGATGAACCGGAACACCAGGCAGGGAGACAGAACTGGAACCAACAAGACACACATCCAACAACAACGATCTGACAAGGAAGATGAAACAGCAGTGAGTATATATAGAGAGGTGAAATGGACTGCAGCTGGTGATGATAATGATGATCAGCTGGAGTGGATTTGGTAATGACATACATTCACGCCCACTACACACGTGCATTCACACAACAACATAAACACGAGACTAAAAGGAAGTAGAGAATACATCTACCGTGACAGTACCCCTCCTCCTAAGAATGCCTCCTGGCATTCTCAGACTCCCTTACCTGTCGATTGTAATCATCGATAAGGGAGTGATCCAGGATGTCTCTAGCAGGTACCCAACTTCTCTCCTCCGGACCGTAACCTTCCCAGTCCACCAAGTACTGAAATCCGCGTCCCCTCCGCCTCGAGTCCAGAATACGGTTGACCGAATATGTGGTCTCCCCATCTACGAGTCGCGGTGGGGGAGGAACCGGGACTGGCGAATTAATGTGAGAATGAAACACGGGCTTAATCTTAGACACATGGAAGGCGGGATGGATCCTTCTGTACGCAGGAGGTAGTTTGAGGCGGACTGTCACCGGACTAATAATCTTGGTGACAGTAAACGGGCCAATGAATTTAGGAGCAAGTTTATTAGACACGGTGCGGAGAGGAATGTTCTTAGTAGAAAGCCACACTTTTTGACCAACGACGTATACGGGAGGCCTTGACCTGTGGCGATCGGCCTTGGCCTTGGTGCGCGCCCCCACCTGGAGTAGAGTCTCACGGGCTCTAGTCCAAGTGCGGTGACACCTCTGGACAAAGGCGTGAGCGGAGGGGACCGCAACTTCGGATTCCAGACTGGGAAAAATTGGTGGCTGGTACCCTACGCTACACTCAAACGGAGATAGGCCCGTGGCCGACACTGGCAACGAATTGTGTGCTTACTCCACCATAGAGAGTTGCTGACTCCAAGAGGAAGGATTCTTGGAAACCAAACATCGCAACACTCTTTCCAGATCTTGGTTGGCTCTCTCTGTCTGACCATTGCTCTGGGGGTGAAACCCAGAAGAAAGACTAACAGTCGCTCCCAGCAATCTACAAAATTCTCGCCAAAATTTGGACACAAACTGGGGACCCCTGTCAGAGACCACGTCTATCGGGAGGCCATGTAAACGAAATACGTGATCTACGACAGCTACCGCTGTCTCCTTAGCTGAGGGTAATTTGGGTAAGGGAATGAAATGTGCCGCCTTCGAGAATCGGTCCACTACAGTCAAAACGACTGTGTTACCCTGAGAGGGTGGGAGGGCGGTAATAAAATCTAGAGCGATATGGGACCAGGGTCTCGAAGGGACAGGCAGCGGCTGAAGTAACCCATCTGGAGGTTGATTGGAAGTCTTACCAGTGGCACAGACCGAGCAAGCCAAAACAAAATTGTGAATGTCACGAGCCATACGTGGCCACCAGAATCGTTGCTTGACTAAAAAGCTAGTGCGCTTAACTCCTGGATGGCACGCCACGTTGGAACAATGACCCCACTGGATGACGTCAGACCGTACTCCCTCCGGCACAAACAAACGACTCGGTGGGCAACCGGGCGGAGGCGTTACCCCTTCTAAGGCCTTCTTGACCTTCGATTCGACCTCCCATCTGAGAGTGGAGACCAGTAATGTCTCGGGTAAAATACACTCGGGAGTAGACGGGCGTTCGGATTGGTCAAAAATACGAGATAAAGAATCGGGTTTGATGTTTTTGGAACCCGGGCGGTACGAGAGAGTAAAATCAAAACGACCGAAAAAAAGTGCCCACCGAGCCTGCCTGGAATTTAATCTTTTGGCTGTTCTAATATACTCTAAGTTCTTGTGATCGGTCCAGACGATAAAGGGAACCCCTGATCCCTCTAACCAGTGGCGCCATTCCTCCAAGGCTAACTTGACTGCCAACAACTCTCTGTTACCAATGTCGTAATTGCGTTCGGCTGGGGATAAACGATGAGAGAAAAACGCGCAGGGATGCATCTTGTCGTCTACAGAAGAGCGTTGGGACAACACTGCACCTACTCCCACCTCTGACGCGTCGACCTCCACCACGAACTGACGTGATGGATCAGGGGCGATGAGGATAGGGGCTGAAACAAAGCGGCCTTTCAGTTTGTTGAACACAGCTTCCGCTGTGTCCGACCACCTGAACGTCGTTCGGGGGGAGGTCAAGGCAGTCAGAGGCGTGACTAGTTGGCTGAAGTTGCGAATAAAACGCCGGTAGAAATTGGCGAACCCCAGAAACCTCTGTAGGGCCTTACGGGAATCTGGACTTGGCCATTCTACCACAGCCTTAATCTTCTCAGGGTCCATTCGCACTCCTTCAGACGAAATGATGTACCCGAGGAAAGGAACAGACTGTGCATGAAAATCGCATTTCTCCGCCTTGACAAAAAGCCCATTCTCTAGCAATCTCTGAAGCACTCGTCGGACGTGTTGCACATGTTCCTGGAGAGAAGAAGAAAAAATCAATATGTCGTCCAGGTAAACATATATGAATTGGTCTATCATATCTCGCAACACGTCATTGACCAGTGCCTGGAAGACTGCTGGGGAGTTGGACAGCCCAAACGGCATGACCAAGTATTCAAAGTGCCCCCTGGGGGTATTAAAAGCAGTCTTCCACTCATCCCCCTCCCTAATGCGAACCAAATGATAAGCGTTACGCAAGTCCAATTTTGTGAAGATGGACGCTCCCTGTAACCTCTCGAAGGCTGAAGACATCAACGGCAAAGGATAAGTATTCTTAACCGTGATGTTGTTCAACCCTCAGTAATCAATACAAGGTCGCAGAGATCCGTCCTTCTTCCCCACAAAAAAGAACCCCGCCCCCGCTGGAGAAGAGGAAGGCCGGATGAACTTGGTTGCTAGAGAATCAGAAATGTATTTCTCCATAGCCTCCCTCTCTGGAACAGAAAGTGAATATAATTTGCCCTTAGGCGGAGACTTACTTGGCAATAAATCTATAGCACAATCATAGGGACGATGCGGAGGAAGAGAAGCAGCCCGAGACTTACTGAACACCTCCTTCAGGTCCAGATACTCCGCGGGCACGTTAGATAAATCCCCTACTTCCTCCTGAAACACAGACACAGGTACAGACGGACAAGCAGACATGAGACAAGATATGGCATTTCCTTTGCCACTTATGGCATTACTTGCTCCACTCCAGCACAGACTTCTGTTGCCAGTCTACTCGAGGGTTGTGACGGATGAGCCAAGGATGTCCAAGGACGACGGGTGACAGTGGTGAATCCAGGATGTAAAATGACAAAGTCTCAGAGTGGTTACCGGAAGTGATGAGGGTGATGTCTTCGGTGGAAAAGGATATGGTGGGAAGTTCCTGACCGTTAAGTGCGTGAACAGCGATGTTGTCTGAATCTGAAACTTGAGTGCAAAACTGTAGTCCATAAAATTACCCTCAGCCCCGGAATCCAAAAGTGCAAGACAGTTGTGCTGGTGAATTGACCATCTGAGTCTTACCGGGAGGAGCGTGGAGGTAGATGTTAACGTAGATGAGGTCTTCCTGGCGGAGATCCCACCCGATAGTAGCCTCGTGTTTACTATCGGGCTGGGCCCTTTTACTGGACAGTTGTATGCATAGTGTTCTGATCCTCCGCAGTAGAGACAAAGGCCCTGAGACCTCCGCCTTTCCCTCTCCTCCCGGGAAAGCCGAGCTCGACCAACCTGCATGGGCTCGTGATCGTAGACAGGGCTGACCACGTCCCTGCCGCTGGATCGGGAACTGTCGCCTCCTCCTGGTGTGCGGGTGGACCCGCAATGCTAGGTCGATCAG